ATATATATATATATATATATCAGTTACATTTTGAGTGTGAAACTATAACATTGGAATACGTTTTTATACTTATACGTATGTTCATTTGTTTTCGTGAATTACATACAAAATTTGTCTGAAAATTATATGTACCATATTACTAAAAACTACTAATAGATATAACTTCGGCCTTGAAAATAATGCTTTATATTTCATAAACGAATTGTATTCGTATGTGTATGTTGAAGAGTTTAATTTTATACGCGTGTGATAGGAGATAAAACGTAAGTAAAAACTATCGTTAGGATAGGATAAAATAACCATGCTGTTTAATGCTTTTCTTAATTAAAATAGTTATAGTGTATATACACACTCAGTACGTATATTTCAGGGGAGGCGCAATTAAACAATCTTTATTCTGAACACATTTTATGCAGGCTTTTATCGATATGCATGCACAAAATATGTGAGAAATTTAACGTTTCGACAATCAAATCAATATACAATAAGCGTTATTAATAATCGATTATCTCAACGGTTTTTTTACGCAACAAAATAAAAAGGATAAGATTAATGTCGGCAAAACAATTCGAAATAATCTTTGCTTTTCTCTAGAATTTCTTAATGTAATATCGATATATCGACACTCAATGCTGCGCGGATTAAGCATCGTAAAATATATATAAACAATTAATCTAGAATACTGAACTACAAATTATATTGTTAATAACGGCCGACAAGCCGTCAAATCTCGATTAAACATATATGCATTTAAATGAACAATATCGATCGATTTCTTTTTTTATCTCTCAAAATCGGTATTCAATACTTATATCGCTTTCCTCTTCGTATCTCTTTGCGCGAGTATGTTTAATCGAAAACCGATTTTGATGATGACTGGCCACTAATAAACAATAATATAAACAAGAAATTCCTCCTATCGATCAGTGATGTAAAAGGTACTTTTATTTTCGGTATCTAACTATAGATACTTTTAAAAGTACATTTAATTTCAGCTAATTAATAGCTTCAGCTATTAATAGTATAATTCTGTTTGGTTATATTGTACTATTGAATATTGTATTGTCATTGAAGAGCTGATTTGAAATATTATCAAATGTATTTTTTTTTAATTTAGAGTAAGTACAAAAATAATGAACCCCTTCTACGAATACATTTGTTTCATTGCAAAAAATATATTCAGATATAAGTATACAGTATTTAAAAAATATACCTGTATCTGAAATTACAGAGGTAGGGAAATATTTACTCTGATAGCAAAATGTTAACAATTTAAGCAACAAACTCGATAGACAGTAAATTGACAACAAACTTGATCAGATATTAACTACAAAACCATAGCCATCCGTCCACCATGTGTCTGCATTTGGCTGTGGATTTGTCGACAAAGAGCTAAACCAATAGATTGGTAGCAGAAATCAAGTAGAGTTTGCTCGATTAGGTTTTGCTTTCAATCTGTTCAATCTGCGTCAGGATGTGCAGGACTTTGTTTAGTTTCTACTACCAATCTGCTGGCAAAGCATGTTTAGCAAGCTTTGTCATATTTCTGACTGTAATTTGCTGGCAATGTCAGATAATACAAATTCTGAATACAATTTATTGCCTTTCTGCAATAAAAAATTGATAGCAGGCTATGCTTAAAATCTGTTTTCGCAGGCTTTACTATCAGGGTATACACTCTTCAATTTTACATCACTGGCATCGAGGTTCAAGAGATTTGATGCAATATATAACGAGTCGAGATTATTTTAATTTCTCGCGATTTTCGTGGATTCTTTATTGCTCGTGACATGCTCGAGGTCGACTCCGTCATATTCCAGGCCACCCGTACTATCATAATACGCATAATCATAATCGTTCTTTTTGCCCGATTTTGGTCGTGCTGTCGTACTGCTGGCACTGTTGCTACTACTGCTGCTAGGTAATCTAGTCGTTGACGTGAACGGTCTCGCGGATCCGCTAACGTAAGTAATTCCACGTGGCGTCGTTGTCGATTGAACGGTCCTCTGAGCGTTAGAATTGAAGTTGTTTGGGTTATAAGTGGTAGCGCTAGAAAGCCGTCTGCAACAAGAAAAAGAATGCTGCAATTAATCTTCTTCTCTTACACTATGTTTTAGAAGTAGAATTATTTTACGAAAATGGAAAAAGTCGATCAAGAATACAGGAAATATTTTGATGAAAAATAAATCTTAAAATTCTATATACTTCGTGTATTCTTTTTTTTTAATAATATTAGATTTAATATTTAATTTTTTAATAAGATTACATTTTTTTAAATAATATTCGATTTTAAATTAGTAACGTTTTAATATATATACATATATTTGTACACAGAAAAATATATATTCTGATTAAATTAATAAAAGGATTCACTAATGGCATTTTGATAAAACCGAATAGACTTTCTGGTTATATATCATAAACAGAAATTCTGTTTGTCCTCAAAATGTCATTCTCTAAGTTTCGTTGATTTAATCAAAATATTTTTTTCATCATAAATACTAAAAGATTATTAATTCGGGTTCAAAAAAATCTTAGGTTGTCTGATCTTGAACGAAGTTTACAGTGTCATTCTTATTGAGTCCTTAGTTTAATCAAGCTTTTTTTTTACTATAAACTTTGTTTATAATTTTTATAATTAAATACGAATTTAAGGATGTTACTTCCTTTGGTCAAGTTTTGGATAAATCTAACTTTGAGTTTACCTTGGTACCGGCGTGGTTTTCGGCGACTCGGCGAGATGATTGATACTTGCGGGACTGAAACCAATTCCCACGGAAGATCTTGCAAGGTTGAAGCTACCCGTGCTTGTTTCGATATAATATGACTTGCCGCTGCTCGCGTTATCATAATTATTATTATATTGAGTTGCCTTCTTAGGCGTTTTCGTGCTATCGTAATATTGAGTGGAAGGCTTACTCGCTTGACTCGTTTTATCATAATATTGGCTGTTTTCATTGTTCCTCAAAGCAGTCTGTGCGACAGTATTGTCCACGTTTACGTATTTTTTCGTTGCTGGGCTATAAGTTGTGGGTGCATAACTGTTGCTTGCGAAATTGTTGGCGTAATATTTGGCAGTAGTTTGAGGAACGTCCTGACTAGTGGATGTGGCTGGTCTGTACTGAACATTATTATTATTATTGTTGTAATTATGATTATAAGCGGTAGGTGCGGGTGTGGTGGATTGGTACGCAACTGATGCGCTGCTTCCTCGTTGAATGTTGTTGTAGTTTCTTTGTTGATAATTAGTGTAATCGCTTGTCTGATAATTTATAGTACTCGGTTGAACAGTGGTGGACTGTGCGAATTGATAAGTCTGGTAGCTGGTTTTCGGATTGTAGTTGCTCGGTTTCAAAGTTGTGGCTTGAACGGAACTGCCAGTATTCTGTTGACCGGAATTACCAGCATTCTGTTGATTGTAGTTTGAATTGTAGACGTTGTAGAAGTTCGTGTTGTAGGCGTTGTTCGAAGTTGTTCTGGCAGTCGTGCTGGGTGATTCATAGTTGTTATATGTATCCTGGTATGTCGTGCTAGGTCGATATGTGGACGACGGTACGCTATATCTTTGCGTGTTCTGATTCTTGTTGTAGTTCTCTTGAGATCGGACGGTCGTTGACGGAGCGTATGTCGTAGATCGTTGATTATACGCATTGCTGTTATAATAATTGCCGTTGTAGGTGTTCTGACTAGGCACGGCTGGTGCCGACGTCGACGTTGGTGAATAGTTGCTACTACCATTACCAGTGTACGGTTGCTTTCTACTGACCTTTCGAATGCCGCCTTTCTTTTTGTTGTCTTGTTCCTCCTTATACGATTTATCTTCATATTCGTCTTCCTTATTGTTTCTGTTATACAAATTGCCGCTACTGCTACCTCGCAGTACCTCGCGATTGTTGTAGTTGGACGAAGATACTCGATTCACAGCGTTCGCGGAGGATCGAACCGCGTCGTTGCTTTCGCTGCGCTGAAGATGATCTTGAGGCTCGGCGTCACTGCGTAAGCTGTCGTAATGCACGGATTCCAGACCGGAACCAATTCTATACAAGTCAAAGTTATCGCTGGCATAGTAGAGAGTCGCGGCTTCGCAATCCACGTCATACCAATCGGCACAAGTTTGACTCTCTTGATCGAAGGCAGTATCGTTGGGACAAAGGAACCTAAGTAAAAAATAATTAAATAATTCTGCGAATTCAGCAATTGGCTCTATTCCTAACCTCGTATTCAATGTTCCATTCAAAATGTATTTTTGCTTAATGTATACTGTATGACATTAAATGCTTATTAAATGCTGATGATAAAAAATTGAGAATTTATTTTTACTTATTAAGATTGTAATGTAACACTCACTTGTAATCCTGAATAGTACCAGCCACAGAGACACAAACATGGAAGACTTGGCAGTCGGTCTCAGGGTCCGCATAATAGCTACCAACAATCTTATTGCGACAGGAGAACGAGGTTTCCGGCATGTATTGCTGAGAGTATCTCGGTGGTGGTCGTTGGAGACCTAGTACGCAGCTCCATAATATTCCCACTGAAATTCATAGTATACTCTTAAATTTTATGGAACTAATATTCTTTATATAATCAATAGTAAGATATATTTATCAAATAAAAAAAAATTGCATCGTAATTTATAAAAAAAAAAGTGATAAGAATAGATTGTAATTCGTCCGAATATCTATTTTTATTTATTATTATTTTATTACATGTATTTTTTAATATAATCGAACATGTATATATATTGTGTATTATATACACAAATTAAAATGGACAAATACATTATCAGAATGTGTTCTCATATTGATATGCAGTTTGCAATTTTTTTATTCTAAAAATAAATTTATGAAATCTATATTATAAGAATGTTCCTTTATTGTTATATAATTCTTCAAATTTTCGACCTGATCGATTCGTTGATTGGTATTAAAGGTTGCAATTGTACGATTGTTTAAAGATTTGAACAGCAAAGATTTGAACAGCGTTTTTTTACAAGTGAAGATAAATAATGATAGATGTCAATGCACCTTCCTACTTAAGAGTATCTACATAAAAGAGCGTATTGGATATTCATATACTCGCATGTACGAAGATTGTTTCAATTGAAATTATTACTGATTTATGAACGCGCGAAATTTCAAATAAAAAATTATCACTGAACAAATTCTTCGAGCCAAATTTTTAAATAGTTCGGTTTTAAAATTAATTACTTTAATTTGACATATTTCAAAAGATTTTATTTAATAGTAATTTAAATAATTTCTGATTCAAATTTTGTTCATAGGAACCCAATAATTAAAAATCTTTAATGAATTTGCAATTTATCACATTTTGATATTTATTTAAATAGATAGATACCAAATGTAGTAAATTGCAAGTTCATCAAAGACTAATGCTTGACGATTCTTATAGTCCACTTTCAGCGATTAAATTCCACTCTGTCCTATTACACGTACCCGAAATTAAAACGAGATATCGCCTCATGGACTCCATATTTTTCGTCGAGTCCTTTGGATACCCTCTTCTCCGGATTCACTCAGCTTTTCGGACTTGGTTCGCACTCCTACGCGTTACCTGCGCGATCAGACTCGCGGACGCGACTGCAGCAGCGTGAAGAATGTTTGTACCGAGAAGAGGCTCGATCGCTCGTTCGGAGAAGATGTCTTCTGGGAGGATGGGGCTCTATCGGGTACAGCTACGGGACGACGGGGAAGGGATCCGGGCTCCATCGCGTAGAAGAGAATGGTGAACAGGGTCTGCTGCGGAACGTAACGTCTTTCTCGTTACGTCACTTATGGCAACCGGGCTCGTTCGCCAAGCAGCCAGCGGCGACGATGGCACGTATTATACGTGGGTATGCAGTATGCACATACCGTGCGCGGACTCCCGTGTAACTTACACGTTTTTACTATCACGTAGGTAGGCGGCTGGGTGTCGGAGAAACCGCTGCACGCCGCGCGGGAAAGTGGGAGCCATTATCATCTCTTGAAGAGACTTCTCTCGCGCGCGATGCATAATAACGTGTAGGTGCCCGTTATTATGTCGCCTGATCGCGACGGAAGAAGTTTCGAGACGGAAAGCTTCTGTAGCTCGAGATTCCCTTTTGGAAAATCAAGTCAAGGATAGGCATAGAAGGCGGATCGGCAAGCATTGCGCGATAGTCATTAAATTCAACATTTCATGTCGATTCTTATTTGTGATTACTTGGAAATATCATTAAAAGATATACAGTAGCATAGAGATAAGCGTTCGTGACACGAACGTTTTAATGACATCGAATCTTTAACTATTCCACTGCTCTGTCGTAACTGTTTTCGTAGATGATGAGTTTCGTATCAGTCTATAGATGGAAGAAAGTTGCGTTTTGCATTGAATCGTGTGTGGAGGGTGTGGCGATAGACAACATCGCATGTGCCTTCAACAGAGATAAAAGAAAGAAGCCGATGCCCGTCAGCGTCAATTATTCTAATAGAACTTCAAAGTAGTTATATTTTGTGTGAAAGGATATTCGCGATTGCGCCACTGAATGGATAGTTCTTATCTATCACACATTTATTCACACGATTTATTTTTTTAGAACTTAAATCCTGTTAGACAATCTATTTTATTTCGACTTATATTCAATACAGCTTATAATCTAATTTTTTTATTTTATTTGTTACTTTTTACATTACACTGTTAAATTTAACTCAATTTGAGTCGCCACTGCTCTTTAAATTGAGTTAAATTTAACATTAACAAGAGGAACATCAGGTGATGGTGTCGGGGATTTTGATATGCTATCACAGACTGTTTTTAAATGAAAAAAAAAACGATACATGTCCGACCGTTTCAGCTATTGATCCGACTATTGATAGTTTCAAAGAAATCAATTTTTTAAATAATTATTGTAATAATTTAAAAAATGTACTGTAGAGGAGATGGGGAACACAAGTAACATTTTGACTTTGAAATGTTTTAACAGTTAAAATATAATATTTACATTAAAAAGATATGTATCTTTAGATGTAGAGTTTATTTAGCTAGAATTTATTTAACTATAAAATTTTTTCTTTATTTTTTTTATGTAACTAGAAAAAAAGTTTTATTTAAAGACTATGAGGAATTTTGTTACAATCATTCCAATCCCTGGGGATGATAGTAACGTTTATACAGTAGAAAGAGATAATTGTATCACATTTGCTAGAGGTACATAACACAACTACACATACTCTTTCTTGCAGCTGCACGAATGGATATCTGATACTTCATAACTTCTTTAAATGTCTATTTGTATAAAGACTTTTTTTTATACAGTTTTTCTTTTATCTGTCTTGAGTTTTCTTGTTAATGGGATTCTATAAAGAAAAATACAAATAATATAAAATACTAAAATAAAATCAAGTAAGTTTGGGGATAATTGTTACAACTGACTCCAGGCATTAATGTTACTATTGTCCCCTAATAATATTTTCTAATTTATAGTAAATTTTTTAAATAAAAACATAGATAAAAATCAACCCAAATATGCAAACACATAATCATTAAAACATATTATGATAATATAATACATTAGATCTTAGATACATTAGATTATAAAGAAAAAAAAAAATTTTAGATTTTGCGCACGCAATAAAATTTATTTGATGCATAAAAAAAATAATTTCTGCTCGTACACGTTCCGCGAGAACTAGCACTGTAACGAACGATTCAATGCCGATCTGTCCATAAAATTTTACGCATACACATATCTATTGTATAGTTTAAGAAATATTAACAATGTTAACTATTATCTTCTTGTTGCTTTTGTTCTCCTCTATGAGAAAATATCAATTTCTTTATAAATTTCATTTTAATTTAATATTATTAATTTTAATTACTTTTTGATTGTAAGGAAATTTCATGAAATTACAAATTAATATTATAGATTAAACTTATATATACTTATATATATTATATATAATTAAACACTTATTTATGAAATATTTATTATTATCATCATTATCATTATTGTTGTTATTCAATTCACATGAATGCATAAATAAGATTGTAATGAAAATAATTACAGTTTCTGATAAAATTAGAAATTGGAAATTGTGATTAGTAATAAGTAATAAAAGTTATATGTGTTTGTAATCTTCTTTTCATTAATATTAATCGATTTGTTAATAATAATAGAAAACTAATTGTGTTTTGTAAACATATGTACATAAATCAAAACATATGTACATAAAAACAAGAAAAATATTTATTGCATTGTGAAAACCTTTCGAATTTTTGTTACAGATACAATAAATCTTAATAAAATTAATATTAATTCTTAATAAATAAAACTTTTTCTAATATCTGGAGAAAAGCAGATTTAATTAACATTATGGAAATAGCTTCTTTCAGGAATCAATTTTGATGAGAACCAAGCATATTTTATCAGTACGAAAACTGAGATGACAAAATTGATGATGAATTATCGAATGGTTTTTAATGGCATTCTCTCGCATCGAGAGTTCTTTGCACAAATTAATTTTCTATTATTATAACATAATTATTATTATAAAGATACTGATTTATAAAGATATTGATATTTTCGTAGTACATTTGTCAAATTATTACAATTATATAATTTAAAAAATCTTCGATTTCTTCGAAACTATGTACCAATGTGCAATGGCTAAAATGATCGAATATGTATCATTTTCTTTTTTCGCTCAAGAACAGTTTGTAAAAAACATATCAAAATCTCCATCCACTTGGTTCCCGTTGTAAGTATAGATTTAACAGTATACGTGGCACAAAATTAAAGAATTTTATTCTAAATTATAAATCTAAAGAGATCCAAGAAAATGAATGTTAAAGTCAACATTTTCCTATTTTCAGAAAAGTAAATTAAATTATTGTTAAGTTGCGCTTTTTAATTTTTTTACTATTGATCTGTGGAAAATTAGTTTTAATTGTCATATTTTACACATCCATGAAAAAATAATAAAAAATAATAAAATTTAATAAAACTAAATGGCCATTTTCAGCAGAAATCAGTTTAATAAGTTCTTTACATCGATTGAATTATACTTGTAGATCAAGAGGAATAGTCTTATCTCAGAGAAGAAAACTTTCAACAGTTATGAAAATAAATATTCTGCTAAATGCAACTATTGATCAATTTAATTTTATAATAGAAGATTTTTTTTAATTCTGCTTTTATTTTCTTACAGATTTCATATATAAAAATGTAAATATTTTGCTTCTGCATTGTTCGTGTTTCTTCTAAATTAATCTTCGATAGGAATGCTCTTTGAATGTCTCGTCTGTTAGCGTAAGTTCGGCGTGACCGGTCGTTAGGTGGCCTTTGCCAGCGCGAGATCGCGACTCATTGCACTCGTTGGAGGGTGCATCGAAGGAGTGCTCGGTTGCATTCCAGCAGTAATCCAAGGAATTACGGCGGACGGAACAGCGAGAATCTTGTTTAGAACATTTAAATCACCATGAACGGCCTCGCAGATCGTTCTGCTATTCGAAACTATGTACATTCTAGGGATGTTAGATATTTGAAATAGCTGAGCGAAATTTGCCGGATAATTGCGCGAAAATTGCACAGACTTAGAGAATTCTTCAGTGGCATTTAGATATCTTTGTCGAAACATAGAACTTCTAGTATTTCGGAACTTCAAAGTTAAACTTTCTCATTACAGATTTCTCTGATATTAGAGGCACATAATCCCGGACAGTTAGCAACTAATTAGAACGAATTGACTCACGTATGAATAGAAATCGTTTGCGATCAGAGAGAAGGTTTCGTTGCAAGTGGAATTGTAGCACTCGATTCTTCGATGAGATAAGGTCACTTCCGTAGGTTGAAGCTAAGATGGGTACGCGGCATAGAACATGCAAAGGAGTTATCTACGAGCAAAAGAATCACGTGGCCCAATTCACTTGCCGCCGTTGCACGAAGATCGAGGTCGTACCTCGACAATTGAAATTTCGCAATTTAGCCTGTCTTGCAGCGCACTGCCGGTGTAATACGTTGTGTGAGTACGTATATGTATGAGACGAAAAAAAATTCACGATAGCTTTAAAATTTAAATCTAAAGAACATCGTGCAAAATTATCCTCGATCTCGCAGTATTTACAGCGAAGAAATTAACATTTGCATCTCGATAGATGTTTATTTTCCAAACATTGATTTTTATATATCCAATTTGACAATTTCTTTCGATAAACAAATTTGTAAAGATATTTTAATTTTTTCGCTACCCTGCTAAGAAAAATTTTTCTTAGAATTTTTTATATAATTTTTCAGAATTTTTGTATAATTTTATAATAATCTTTTAGAAAATTTCTCAGATTTTTTTATATGAATTAGAACACTTTTTAGAAGTATTGCATAAGAAAATCTTTTAGAATTCTTTGTATATTCTTCGTAAATTCTGAAATGTTTTAAGATTTCTCATTCTATAATTTCTAAGAAAAACTTATAAATTTTGAAAAAGGGTACTTTTTTCAAAATTTTCACAAATTTAAAATATTCAAATAGTAAAAGACAATAGACTTAAGTAATTTATAAAATTAACAATAAAACAAGGGTCAAACTAGATCTTAGATTGCTAGATTAATT